AAAAAGAGATGCATGTCTGGGATGATGAAGACCCCCCTCAGATGGACCTTCCTGTCCATCTTTTCCTTATCCTCCCCATGAAAGCCCCATGTGCTCCTGAGTCCTCCAAGATGAAGCTTTGAGGGTGACAGCCCCTCCATCTCTCAAGATGCTGGCCCTCGAATAAGCCTAATTTCTTCAAACTCTTGTCTCCCAAATATTGGCTTTCAAATGGCCAGCAGCCTAGACTGTAGTCCAGTAACAGACATGTATTTACTAACTTAGTATAAGCCCATGTATAAGCAAAACCCTAAGCTGATCTGGTTATTTGTAGGATGAGGTACCCGTACGCCAAACTTCCTCAGAGGAAGCATGTGGGGAAATCGTGTGAAGTAAAGTTTGGGGTGTGCACCCCCATAGTTTTCCAACCTTTTAAAATGAGATTATATTCATATATGAACTGTATAATAAGAATTCAAATATAAATATTTACAAATATTTAAAGTTTATAATATATATATATATATATATATATATATATATATATATAATATGTATATGTATAAAATACACTATTTGGACTGCATGCCTATAAAAATACCATAGAAAAACTTTGGAAAAAACTCATTTGCTAATAGCATTTTCTTTCTTTCTTCTTTCCTTTCTTCCTCCCTCCCTTCCTTCCCTCCTTTTATCTTTTCTTTCTTTTCAGTTTTCTAGGCATAAAACTTAGGACCTCTAATGTGCTAAGGCATGTGAGCTATCACTAAGCTACATCCCTGTCTGAGTGTTTTCTTTTTTAAATATTTATTTATTTATTTTTAGCTTTAGGTGGACACGGTATCTCTATTTTAATTTTATGTGGTGCTGAGGATCGAACCCAGTGCCTCACGCATGCTAGGTGAGCACTGAGCTACATCCCCAGCCTCGAGTGTTTTCTTGAGTTGGGCAAAACTTTGTCAATTTTTCCTTCCCCCTTTTATTTATAATTCAAAATTTCAAAATACAGTATTTGTTTTCAGTAGTTCAAATTAAATATTCTCAAAAACTGCAATGCATTTTATAATTACAATTGGTAGCAGGTATTTTTTCCCCTTAGTGGTATGTACAATAATTATGCTTCACCATTAATGGCATTTCTAGATTCAATGAAATAAGGCAAATAAAAAATATGAGAGAATACGTTAAATCCATATACCCCAGATCTACTATTTTCACATTATCAAGGTCATTGACTGAATCTCACAGAGACACATTTATCTCAAAATAATTTTGTGTGGTATTTGGGCTTGGGGAATAATTTTTCACTAAATTTGCAAGAATACAGGGTTAGTATAACAATTTCCCTTGCATGATGTGCACTGTGCAAACATTCATAAAACAGTCTGTGACATAGCTAAAGGCTAGGGAGATGGATACAGAGGTGATCAAAGCAGATTTCTTGTCTGAAATTTTCTCCTAATCAGGCTGAAAAACAGAAGGGGAGAGGGAAGTCATGGCCAGTTTTATTGCTTTTGGAAATTCAGAACTAGACATCCAAATGTGAGAGAAAAAGGTAAAGAGTCTCAGGATTGAAATGGAATAGAAGTGTTGGATTTATTGCCTCTCCTTGCTCCTTGTCCTTGCCCCAGGGTAGGCACTCAAATAGTTCCTCAATGAATAAGTTAGGGAGCAGGCCCATGTGGCCAAGGCCTATAGGTGCTAACTTTGTCTCTGGCACATAAGAAGAATTCAGAAAATAAATGAGGGAGAATGAGAAGGAAACAAAGGATTTGAGGGAGATGGTGGTAGGTGCAAGGAGGGGGAGGATAATGAAGGCCAGCTGTGGAGACATTGTTTATAGGAAGGGGATGACTGGAAACTATTTCATCAGTTTGTATTGTCAGACCTGCCAGACAGGTTCGCCATAGTTAAGGAGAAAGGAGTAGGTGGAGAGAGGGAGAAGGGAGGCATTCCCATCCAACCTTAGCTTCAAGACTGATCTCTGTGCTGTCACAGACTGGGGCATGGGAATAGACTGAGTTCAAATTCCATCTTAGCTGCGAAACCTCACTCATGATGATGTTCTGTGCTTGTTTTCTCAGTGATTAAGTGGGAATAATCATACTCTGTGCTTCCCTAATAAAGGCTCGAATCAGGAAAAATCTTTATGCAACATTTGTAGATAAGGAGAGACCACCCCAGATTAGATGATTTGTTTAAAGGACTCATAGGATTCAACATGCAGCTGTATTCACGGTATTCATGGATATGATTTATTACAGTGCTCCACCACTGAGCCACAACCACAGCCCCCAATCTCCAAAAGCAAAGGGAAAAGGTGACAGGGTTGATGCCCAGAGAAAATTAGGCCCATGCTTCAAGAGTCCTCTCCCAGTGGAGTCCCACAGGATGCCAGCAACAAGTTGTGACAATACTTGTTTATTTTTTTTTTTTTTTTTTTTTTTTTTTTTTTTTAATTTTTTATTGTGGGTTGTTCAAAACATTACAAATTTCTTGACATATCATATTCCACACTTTGATTCTAGTGGGTTATGAACTCCCACCTTCACCCCATACACAGATTGCAGATTCACATCAGTTACACATCCATTGATTTACAAATTGCCATACTAGTGTCTGTTGTGCTCCGCTGCCTTTCCCATCATCCACCCTCCCCCCTCCCCACCTCTCCCCTCCCCTCCCCTCCTCTCTCTCTACCCCCTCCACTGTATAACCCTGAGGGTCTCCTTCCATTACCGTGCAATTTCCCTTCTCTCTCCCTTTCCCTCCCACCTCTCATCCCTGTTAAATGTTAATCTTCTTCTCCTGTTCTTCGTCCCTACTCTGTTCTTAGTTACTTTCCTTATATCAAAGAAGACATTTGGCATTTGTTTTTTAGGGATTGGCTAGCTTCACTTAGCATAATCTGCTCTAATGCCATCCATTTCCCTGTAAATTCTATGATTTTGTCATTTTTTAATGCAGAGTAATACTCCATTGTGTATAAATGCCACATTTTTTTTATCCATTCGTCTATTGAAGGGCATCTAGGTTGGTTCCACAGTCTTGCTATTGTGAACTGTGCTGCTATGAACATCGATGTAGCAGTGTCCCTGTAGCATGCTCTTTTTAGGTCTTTAGGGAATAGACCAAGAAGGGGAATAGCTGGGTCAAATGGTGGCTCCATTCCCAGCTTTCCAAGAACTCTCCATACTGCTTTCCAAATTGGCTGCACCAATCTGCAGTCCCACCAGCAATGTACAAGTGTACCCTTAAGAGAACAAACAACCCAATCAACAAATGGGCCAAGGACCTGAACAGACACTTCACAGAGGAGGACATACAGTCAATCAACAAGTACATGAAAAAATGCTCAACATCTCTAGCTGTCAGAGAAATGCAAATCAAAACCACCCTAAGATACCATCTCACTCCAGTAAGATTGGCAGCCATTAGGAAGTCAAACAACAACAAGTGCTGGCGACAATACTTGTTAAATGCCGTTGACCAGGGAAGCTCATTAGAACTCAGCGCCAGATTTTATTGGGGACCAGTCATGTAGGCAACCCCCTGCCTAGCACCTACCTAAATTCCAGATTCTCAGCATGAACCCCATAATTTAGACACATAATTTAGGAAAGTCAACACTCTTGTGGGTTCTGGGAATGGTGGACCATTGCTGAAATCTAAGCTCCTAGTCACCAGTCAAGAGCCTATCTCACCAGCAGGCTTTCCTAAGGACATCAGTCCCAAATCTGCCTTGTCAATAATATACTGCACAGCCTGCTGGCTCCTTGATCCACAGAAAAGAGTAAGTAGTTGTTGGTACTAGAGCAGATTTAGAAAATGCCCAAACCTGTCTGGTCACGTGGACAAGGGACCCCCACATTTTCCATAGGTGGAATTCAATATAAACCCCAATCACATGTCTTCAACTCAGCTTCCCTATAAGGTTTTTGCTTGAGCAGTCTGAATTTGTAGCCTTACACAGTCTAGACCTTTTCCTCCATTGAATGGTGCCTTCTTTTTCATGTCACACAAGGCAAGGTAGCTCTAAACTTTTTTTTTTTTTTTCCTTTTTGCAGTGCGGGGGATGGAGCCAGAGCCTCATATATATTAGACAAGTGCTCTGCCACTGTGCTACATCCCTGAGCAAAGCAGCTTTAGAATTTTAAATTCGATTAGCATTTCACTGTTGTTTCTCTAAGAATTAATTTGAGAAAACTGTTTCTCTATATTTGTTTTCTATTGCTACATAACAAATTAACAAACTAGAGGCTTAAAGCAATACCTGCTCATGAGTTCCCAGTTCTGTGGGTCAGTGGTCCAAGTACAACATGACTGGATTTTCTGCTTAGGGTCTTGCTAGGCTAGAATCGAGGTGAAAGCTAGGCTGCATTCCTCCCTGGAAGCTCCAGGAAGGAGTTCCAAGCTCAGAATATTGACAGAATTCAGGTCCTTGTGGTTGTGGGAAGGAGACCTTTGTTTCTCTGGAAGGCTGTTGGTCACCCTCAGTCTTTCCAGATTACCTGCAGTTCCCTGTCACTGAGCTCCCTTCATGTACTATTGCTGCTGCTTGGCATCTCTTCCTTCCACAAGCTCAGATGACCAGATTTAAAAGCTCTTGTGATTGGTTAGGCCTGCTCAAGTAATCTCCCCTTCTTCTTCTTCTTCTTTTTTTTAGTTGTAGTTGGACATAATATCTTTATTTTTTATTTACTTTTATGTGGTGCTGAGGATTGAACCCAGCACCTTGCACATGCTAGGTGTGCGCTCTACCACTGAGACACAACTCAGCCCCCAATCTCCCCTTCTTAAAGTCAACCATAACATAAAACATAACCTAATCCCCAGGGATTAGGTAGGGCATGGGAACCCCCCTGTACAACAGAGGATGGGAATGTTGGAGACATCTTAGAATTCTGTCCGCTACAATCTTCACTCCTTTTGTTTATTCATATATCACATTATGTATGGAGTGAGTGCTCTGTACCAGGCAAGACACAAAAGTGAACCAAACTTGACCCCTTAAAACTTACCGTCTACTGTGATGAGACAACAGTAATCAAGGAAATGAAGAAAACTATCAGTTAACTGTGAGTGCTCTGCAGGAATTCCAACAGCATGGTCTTCAGATTCAGATTGTTAGGTAAGGGTTCTCTGAGGAGATGCCACTTAAAGTTGCTCCGTGAAAAGATAATACAAGGAAAAGGTCCATGCAAATATCATCTAATCTCTGCCTCCTCAACAGGAAAGCTCACGCCCTGTGTCTCCACATTTCCTTGTAATCATGTTTAACATACTTAACAGAGAAGCTTGTTTTTAAACCACACCCTGAGAACCTCTATGCACAGTGTTACTCACTCCACTTTTGTGGCTTAGTTGGTTAGTATAGCTTTGGACATGGCCTCCCAAAACCCCAAGCAGAAGCTGGGCTTCGTGGCTTGTCAACAGTGACAAGTGTTACTCAATGAACAAATTAGGGAGCAGTCTCATGTACCAGTTCTCATAAACGTGTTCCCCTTTTTCCCCTCAGCCTTCTCCTAAGGCCTACAGAATGTTAATGGATGAAGACAGCTGAGCGTAAGATGCATTTCTCTCAATAAGTAGCTAACACTGACAGGATATGTTTCTGCTAAAAATACATTCAATTGAATTTGCATTCCAATTTTCCTGCTGTAAATTTCCAGAACTCAAAGATCCAATGAGAATTGCCAGGCACAATATGCTCCCTTCTGCCCTTGATATATCCCTGTTGAAAAGATTTCAACCCCATCTGGACACTGTCATGGTTAAGAATGCAAAGCTAGGGCTGGGGTTGCGGCTCGGTGGTTAGAGCGCTGGCCTAGCATGTGTGAGGCACTGGGTTTGATCCTCAGCACCACATAAAAAATGAATAAATAAAGGTGTCCATCTACAGCTAAAAATTAAAAAAAAAAAAAAGAAAGAATGCAAGGCTATAAGATTTTGGATCTTGTTATCTTTTTTTTTTTTTTTTGATGTAAGCAGCAAAGAGGTATTTATTGCGAGCTAGCTCAGTCCTCTGGGCGCACACAGCAACTGGTGACGCTGAGAGGCCCCAAGCTCAGGGTTTGCAGCAGTTTTATACACTCTTTGGGGAAGGCAGGGACTTCACATACATCATAGCATCTCTTAGCAAATCATCACACACCACGAGAAAATCATAAAACAACTCTAAAACATGATTTGCACATTCACTGGTGGGAACAAGTTGGGTAAGGGTGATTGGTTAGTACAAGAGGGGATTCGTTTGAACTGATTGGTTTAAGCCATGAGGGGAGTACCTGCTGAACTACATGGTTTCCCAACATGTTATCAACCACCATAAACTACTGGGAGGGTCATCTGGCATCCCAGGTATTTTCCCTGTTTCATGCTGATTGGTGGTTGCTATGGGTCTTCACCTAGCCTGAGTCAGGGATGCCTGAGGCAGCAGATCTCTTCTATTATTTGTAGATAAACAACTCAGCAGGGTGGGTATGTGCCTAGGAGTGCTCTGTGGGTTTTTCTAAGGACAAGGGTCATGCCCCCTTTCTTGGACAGGCTTTGCTCTGAAGTAGAGGCTGGTTTTTCATTCCGCCCTTTGTCTGGAAACTTTGGAACCAAACATGTTTCCCTCAGTTGGGGTCTATTTGGGCAGGCTCTACAAATTGGTAAACAGTAACCCTCAGGGGACAGTCTTCAACTTCCCAAACTCACTCAAAATTGGCCTCTTAGATCCAACCTGACTCGATTTATCTAATTACACTATCTATCTATTTCTGGCTTCATCCCCCCCTCTAATTTTAGGAACTCCTTATTGCTGTAAGGAGAAGGGGCGATGGCTCATTCTGGCTGCTTCAGAGCTGAAATGGGGTGTTGAACGTGAGGGGGCTCAACGACGTAGGGGAGTTCCCTTTTAGAAGTCAGTTCCATTTGAAGTCTGGTTGGGGAAAAACAGGTTGTCATCTGGGGATGGGTGCTTCATACAACTTTAGAACACCAGCTTGATAAATGCTCTTTTAAAGCTTCTACCTAAAAGACTTGTATACCAGCCGGGTTTTCATCACCTCTTGATCGGGGTGTCTGGGTAGGCTTATAAGGGGGATCCCAGATGAGCCCCCATATGTTATGCTTGAATTTGGGACCCCTAAAAGACCACCAGAGACCAAGATCGATGTAAGCAGCAAAGAGGTGTTTACTGCGCGAGCTAGCTCAGTCCTCCACGCGCACACAGCCTGGACCTTGTTATCTTGAAGTTGGAATGATTAAGGGGCTCTGAAACACACGCTGAACAAACACCTTCTGTGTGTTGACCATGTACCAGGCACCGTCTGTGCACAATGATGAGCTGTCCCAGTTGTCACCTTCAAGGGAGATCAATATGCAAATTGTCAAACATAATATAGGAGGCTTTTTTTTTTTTGGTTTTGGGTCTTGCTGTGTTGCCTAGGCTGGTCTTCAAATCATGGGCTTAAGCGATCCTATAGGGTCAGCATCCCAGATAGCTGTTATTAAAGTGCACACTATGCCTGGTTTAGGAGGTTTCTTTTCATCAACTAGATCATCTACGGAGCAAATATTTACTGAAGGCTTATTATGTGCCAGGTACTGTTATAGGTGTTACAAAAACACCAGAGAACAAAATGGACATAAAACCCCTTGCCTTAATTAGCTTATATATTCTACAGGGATGGACAATAAATAAAATATATTGGGGGTCAGATGGTGATAAGTACTATAAAGGAAAATAAAAAAAGGGTGTTAAGGATGTTGGGGTTGTGGCTCAGTGGTAGAGCACTTGCCTTGCACACATGAGGTATTGGGTTCGATCCTCAGCACCATATAAATTAGGTAAATAAGTAAAAGAAAGGTATTGTGTCCATGTTCAACTAAAAAAATTTTTTTAAAAAAGGGTTCTTGGGGCTGGGGTTGTGGCTTAGGGGTAGAGCACTCGCTTAGCACACGTGAGGCACTGGGTTCGATCCTCAGCACCGCATAAAAATAAGTAAATAAAATAAAGGTATTGTGTCCAACTACAACCAAAAAAATAGTAAATATTTAAAAAAGAGTGCTAGGAAGTATGGAGAAAGGGAAGCTATTACTACTTTAATAATTTAAAGAGGTGTGGGAACCAGACTGGTGTGGTGGTGCATGCCTGTAATCCCGCAAATCAGGAGGCTAAGGAAGGATGATTGCAAGTTCCAGGCCAGCCCGGGAAACTTAGTGAGACTCTCTCAAAATAAAATAAAAAGCAAAAAAGGGGCAGGGATTGGGGATGTAGCTTGATGGTAAAGTGGCCCTGGGTTCAATCCCTAGAACCTAAATAAATAAGAGGTGAGAGAAAACCTCATTAAAAAGGTGACTTTGTGGTGGTGGGAAAATAATAAATCACAGGGGAGACACTGTAGGGACAGACTGTGCATGCCATTGTGAGGACTTTCACCAAGTGAGCTGTCAAACTATAGGGTCTTGATCAGGGGACTCTGATCTCACTTTTGTTTGAAAAGAGTTCCTCTATTTGCTATATGCAGAGTAAAGAGAAGAGGGCTAAGAAGTTAACAAATAAGTTAGCAAGCTATTTCATCTTAGATAAAAAGGAGTAATCACCTGGCATGACTCCAACCATGTGGTAGCCATGAAGGTCATAGATATAGGGTCTGTTGGATGGACTGATTAGAGGTGGAGATGTATTAGAAAAAGTCAAGGATGTTCCCAGTATTTTTTACCTGAGCAAGTGGGAGAATGAGGTTGCCATAATTAACATGGAGAAGGTGACAGGAGAATACTGGAGACAGGAAACCAGGAGTCTGATTGGGAGCAGGTTATGAGCATACAGTGTGTTCAGTACTTAGCCATTGTGTGAAATGGGCATCAGGTGTTACAGGTCTGGCTTTCAGGAGAGAGGTCAAGGCTGGCAATGCACTTTTGTGTAGAGTTGATTTTGAAAGCCATGATCTAGAACCAAGAGATGACTGTAGCTGGAGGAGGGCAGGGTCCAGAGGCTTGAGCCCTGGAATAGTTCAACCTCAAAGTTCAGAGCATGGTGGACACACAGGTGAGCAGCTGTCAGCAAAGATTGGAAAAAAAATCAAAATCAGAAAAGGGTCATCCTGGAAGCCAACTGAAGGGTGCATCAAGGCAATGGAGAGGTTGAACCCCTATAGTTTGATAGCTCCTTCATCAACAAGGTGCTCCTTGAGGCTTGTAGTCTTAATTCAAAGTTGGACATGCCACCAAGGTTGTATGTCTTTCTCTGGCCAAAATAGGATGTAGGAAAAAATAGATAAAGGTGGGATTTGACTGGGGTTGGAAGTTTGCCAGGTGATTACAATAAAGGGAGAGAGGAGCAAGAAAGGAATCAAATCTAAGTCAGGAAAGGAGGAAATATGGGAGATGTAGATTTTTTCTTTTACTTTTTTGAGACAGGGTCTTGTAATGTTGCCCAGGCTGGCCTTGAACTCATAATCGTCCTACCTCAGCCTCCCAAGTAGCTGGCATTACTTTGTCCCAGTTAGGAACACAGAATTGATGAATAGATTACAGGTCCCTGTGAAGCAGAAGGGTTGTTGGAGTTCAGGTATAAAAAACATAGGAGTTGGTGGCCAGAAGCTGAGATGCTTGAAATCAAGATTTTGGGAACTGAGATTGTAGGCATGACAAGGTCTAGTGTAGGGGTCAGCAAACTATGGCCTGTGGGCCAAATTTAGCCTGATGCTGTTTTTTGCACAATTTAAGAATGATCTCTACATTTTAAAGTGTAAGGGGGGGGGCACACTGACAGTTATCCTTTCAGCAAGAGCACCTGGTCAAATAATTGAAGACATTAGACATTACTTCCTGGCTCACAAAGCTATCTGGCCTTTGCAGAGTTTGACAATTCCTGTTCTAGACTCTAGGTATGACCCCATGTGTAAGTGGCTGAGATAAGGCAGAGGACACAACTGTGAAGGTGAAGTGGCCAGGATGTTGGATCATCTAAATAAAAAGGAAATCACCAATAATTATGACATTAGTGTTGCCAAGAGTGACAGGAGCAAGAACTGAGTCAAGGAATGGAGGATGTGGTCTGTGATCTGAAGACCCTATAAAGGCAGTGATTCAGAAGGGTAGCAGGGGGTCCAGCTTGACCACAGTATGATCTTTAAAGGTCAGAGTTTAAGGGAGGAGAGAAAGAATGATTGGAGCTAGCTAGTGGGAAGAGCTTCTTGATTCCTCATCTTGTCTCTAGGAGTCAGTTGTTTGAGATAGGGATTCAGTCACTCCTTGAGAAGGCTGCTGGGTTGGCAGGGTGCCCACAGATGGGGCCAGTGGTGGAATAAATAGTGGCGTGATTGAAGAACATAGGCAAAGGGGCAGCTAAGTTGCCCTGCAGTTTGAAAGGCTTTGCAGAGGAAGGTTTTTTTTGGGCTGAGGCTTGAAGTATTGGCAGCAAGCAGTCAGTGAGGTTAGTGTGAGTGGGATGGGAGGAAGGGAAGGGATTCTTAGGTGTAGGAAAGCATGATATTCTTGAATGATGTCCTCAGAAAATCACAAATGGACTTTGGTGTATCCAGACTCAGAACCAGTGCAATTAGAAGCTTTGAGTGAGGAACATTACTGTTTCTTCATTAATATTTGTGTACTGGTGCTTTGGTATATACTTGGGAGCTCACAGTAGCTGGGTAG